CACGTAATTTTACATAACTATAAACTTGCCATAGTACAATCTGACATAGAAACTGACGCAAGATGGATCGCCATCATGAAATATGGACGTATTCAAGCCATTTAACCGCTTCACAATTTATTCGTAAAGAAAATCAAATTTTTGCCGAATCTTGCAGATTAGAAAAGTCGACGCTGACATAAACCTTAATCGCTGTTGTAAATTACCATGCTTGGGAAGAACTTACGCAGATTTTACAAACATAAGATGGACTTCTAAAGTAAACTAATATCTGGATCGATGTCACTTTTTCCATGATAACCAGATTTATACTAAAAGGAAAGAATCCATTTATTTCAGTCCTGGATCAAATAAGTTGCAATGATGAATACCGTGTGTATATTAATCGCCGACATGAAAGAAAAATGACAAAATCTCAGTTTCCATCAACTGTTTCTGTCAGAGGAATCGGTCAGAAAATGAAACATAAATTGCTCTTTCATAAGAATATTTACTTTTAAATGTTGCAGATACGCATTGTCATAAACATTTAGATGATAGTCGGAAGTTACCTCACGGATGAAAGTACATGGCGCGGCAGAAATACCTCCCACATAATGGTAAGATATTAGCTAGATGAAGACACCATTGCCACTATCTCTTACCATTATGTGTAAGTATTTCTGCCGCGCCATGTATATTTATAGTATGCCATTACTACTGTCTACTGTTTGTTTGTGTATCGAATATCGACGCGGAAATCAAAATCAGCAAACCAAGTTCAAATTCCGGGCACGTCTGTTGCGTTCACTTTCGCATAAATACTCTTGGAAAAGACATGAATCCGTTACTTCTACCCCCAGCTATGGGTTAAATAACAGGATAGATTGATTTCTTTAGAATGCAAAAGAACTGGAGATTTAGAAAGACTTGCATCCTCTTCATCCCATCGATGATAAGCAGATGCCTCAAGTTTGAATATTATTACAATAATTTCGTCTACTACTACTACTACTACTACTACTACTACTAATAATAATAATATTAATAATAAAATTTAAGCGCAGAGACTTGGCAGATTCTGGAACGGGGTTTGTGCTATGGGAACATAGGGTGAAGATGAAAGCAAGACTAGAAAAAAAATCTCGCCTGTGAGAGAGAGGTTGGAGGGTGGAAAATATTTCTTTTTTAACGAGGACTCGGAGACATTTTTGATCTCTATCAGGACTGATGTAAAGGCATGAATAATAATAATAATAATAATAATAATAATAATAATAATAATAATAGCAAAAAAAAATAGTTGGGAATCTCATCGAAGCGCCGAAACACTGTATATCTGTTCTTGAGTTGTAGCAGTAGGATATCATCATGGCCGACTGTAAAGATTGTTCTTGTTATATTTGTAGATATTTGGGAACACCATTAATCGGAGACCGTCTAAGCGGACTGGGTTATTCGGCCAGAATATATTTCTAACTACGCCCTAGCTTCAAGGTTATGTGCTGCTTCTATCAAAATCTATCACTAGATAAGACATATTTTGGCTGTGATACATGTACGTGGTAAACTCTTATCAGAGTAGGTGTCATACCAGTGGTAATAGGGGGTATAAAAATTGGGCTTAAGTATATTTGTACCCCAGCAATCAATTTATTGGCATGTTGCAGACTTGTAGGTAGTTTCCATCAGAAATAATAATAATAATAATAATAATAATAATATACAATGTTGAAACTATTTTCATTATCACTACTATTTCGAATAATCGCTGCTTTTTCGACGAATCCCGAGCATTCTCGGTTAACGGTCATATAACATATAACACACTCGTACGATAACCTAAGTTAAGCAAGGTCGAACCTGGTTAGTATCTAGATGGGTAACCGATTTGGAATTCCAGGTGCTGTAAGCTTGGATGTGTGGGCAGTGTGATGGTTAACGGCTCGGAATTCGAAATGTGAGAACCGATTTCCAATTCCAGCAGGGTTCGTTATATTCACTTATCTCCGCAAATATCCCCGGGAAGAATATGAACCCGCCCCTTCCCCCAGTTATTAGTAAGACTTGTATCAGCAAAACTATTATTATCTCCCAAAAAATTCTTACAATCTGAAAATACTTTCTGGTTTTAAATAACTTGCAAAAGGTTGATAAGCCGTAAAAGACGAGCCACTCAATCAATCGAACATTCTCGGAATACAGCATATAAACATGATTTCTGTTTACCAAACTAGGCACAAATTGTGTGTCAGTAAAGAAGGAGGGAAGAAAAGGCAGTGGTTGAAGAGTAGAAAGATTTTGATTTGTAAACACGTGAAGTGGTTGATAGTCATTCGAGTTGCGAAATGATTGCTGTTAGTGATGGCGACGTTGACAATTTGAAGTGGGGTCTTGAATAAGTTCAAACCTTTTAAAACGAAATGTCCCTTCGAGCGTACCGAAAGTTCACAAGCAATGAGATTGAAAGAAAAATCAAAATGGATGACTTATTTATTGATCAAATAATTTTACTTTATTTTATTATTTTTTTTGCTGATAATGAATTACAAGAAAATGTAGAGAGTGCAACATGGCTACGAATTCTGTGGCTTCTGGTGCATACATTTCGAAGTAATAAGAAAGAAGGAAGAGTGAAATAAAGATGGCGATACAAACGGTAGAACTAAGTAGAGAAGACATGATGCTAGTGACCTAAGAAAGAAATAGTTGAAGAAGACAGCAAAGAAAACTTAACGCACCTGCCACTCTAGTGGTCAGTGTTGTGATCGTCACTTGCCATCCCACTGCCTCGTTTTCGACTAGCGCAACTAAGTTCTGGATATTGCGTAGCAATGGTAATATTTTAATGGCAACCAACTCGCCGAGTAAAGTAGAGAATAGTAGAAGAAGGGAAGGTAAAAAGCAGACAGGTTTTGAAATGAGAATGGAGGAAGAAGGGCAGAGAAGAGAGAAAAATACATTGACCGCGTTGTGGCGGCAATTTAAGAATAAACAAGGGTGACTACCAGCCAAGTGACACAAAATGGAATATCGGTCATTAAAAAAAACCCTTTGAGAAGTAAATACTGTTTAAAATAGAAGATATATTTAAAAATCTATAAGCAGAAATGCAGTTGTTTTAAAATGCAGCGATATTTATTTTGCGTGTAGTACTTTTAGAGGTTTACTGGTCGTTAAAAATAATTACGAAAGCCAAAAATTGTTTTCTTCAGTATTGTTGTCATGGTGCCTCGGCAATTAAAATCTCCTGAAGGAATCAGAGTGGTCATCTAGAAAAAAAGAGGTTTGGGTGGGACGAAAGTTAAGAGAATTTGAAGAAGGAAATCTTGGAGAGTTGTCAATAAGCGGCCACAAGAATCACATTAGTAAAAGAGCCAAAAAAAAAAAAAAAAAAAAAAAAAAAAAAAGAAAAGAAACAATCCAAACCCCAAAACAATAAATAAATTAATAAAATATATAAATAAATATAAACCTACAAAACAATTATTTAATTTCTCTCGTTCTTATTATTTTAACATATTATCAGTTTCTATACGAACACCTAGCCTCTCTGGAAAGATTATGGCATAAGTATATATTATCTTATCGCATTTTTGATATGATCACTTTGAGAGTATTTTTTCAATACTTACAGTATTATGTAGAGTAATTGGCCATCGTTAAGTGACAAAGTTTCCAATAAACAAGAACAAAAGAAAGAAAAAGAACTAAGCAAAACAATATATATAAAATTTCAGATATAACTAAGATATATCTGTAAAAGGACAATATGAATAAAGAGAAAAGGAAAACTTATCTTAGCCGACGAGTTTCGTCCTCTGATGAACTTTATCAAGGCAAATGTAAAGATTTTATTTTGCAACAAGTATTTAGAAACAAAAGTAAAACTGTTGCTAGTTTTTTTTTAAAACTATTAAACAATGCAAGACAAAACTAGGCAAAGCAACAGTAATAAAGCAAAAAGGTACAAAAAGTAAAAATGGTGTTAACAGACAAAAGGGATACAGTCAAGTGATTCTGACTTCCAAAAGGACAAAACTATAGCGGATGAGACCGAGAAGTGGTCTATCTTATTGGTTAGGAAGAAATCTTAGCATACATCTGTACAATTTGTCTATAAATATTGGGAGGGATGATTTTAGCAGTTATTCCTATAGATTGAAACCATAATATTAACTTGTTTAAATATATCAGTTATGAACAAAGAAGTATTCTTTTTCTTCTTCAAATGAGACATAAATTTATTTCCTAAGCAAATACTAATTTTATTTTTGTTAGTTAAAAGGGTTCCTTCATCCTCCTTACGCTCCAGACCTTGCTCCATCTGATTTTCTTTATTTTCGGATCATTGCAACAATTTTGTTAGTGGGAAACCATTCATCTTGAGGTGGTTAAAACTGATATTGTGTTTATTTGCATTGGAATTCAAGGAATTTTATCCCCAAGGAATCAGTGATGTTTCAAATAGATGGGATTATAATATCGGGCTGATAATATCGATATATCATCTTGATTAAGTATATCAATTAGGATCAAAGAAGCATTTGTTTCTTTTTCGGTTTCAAATGCAATAGGTTTTTCTTAGCAATCTAATATACTAGATTAAGAGAAATGAAAAGACGAAAGCATGTGTCGTGATAAGTTTCCTTCTGAAATTAACGTCTTCAGACATAATAAAGGTTATATTGATGGATTCAGCCCTATATACAAGGAGAGGAAATTGCGACAAACACTGGCTACAGTTTACATAAAAACATTGATGAAATTTAAATTTAAAGGTTTTATGAGCATAAATGGGATATTGTACAAAAAATCTAAGTGCATTAGACATTCATCGTAATGAGTTTCGCCATGATTTCAATTCAATGCAGTTCTGATTAAAAGGGAAATATATTCATTATGGAGAAATTATATTGAAAGTGCACTGATTTTAAATTCTCTCTTGAAAATTTATTATTTCTTTTTAAAATTACGATTAATACAGTGTGGAATAGATAAAAAAGGCAATAAAAACGAAAATGTTATCTCTGGCTGTTCCTATCCATGTCTGTTCACATCTATCTATCTATCTATCTAAGCTTGTTAATCTATCTATCTATCTATCTATCTATCTATCTATCTATCTATCTATCTATCTATCTATCTATCTCAATCTGTTAATTATCTATCGATCTCAATCTGTTCATATCTATCTATCTATCTATCTATCTATCTATCTATCTCAATCTGTTCATTATCTATCTATCTATCTATCTATCTATCTCAACTTGTTAATTATCTATCGATCTCAATCTGTTCATATCTATCTATCTAAGCTTGTTAATCTATCTATCTATCTATCTATCTATCTATCTATATCTATCTATCTATCTATCTCAACTTGTTAATCTATCTATCTATCTATCTATCTCAATCTGTTCATATCTATCTATCGATCTATCTATCTATCTATCCATCTCAGCTTGTTAATCTATCTATCTATCTATCTATCTATCTATCTATCTCAATCTGTTCATATCTATCTATCTCTCTCTCTCTATCTATCTATCTATCTATCTATCTCAGCTTGTTAATCTATCTATCTATCTATCTATCTATCTATCTATCTCAGCTTGTTAATCTATCTATCTAACTATCAATCTATCTATCTCAGCTTGTTAATCTATCTATCTATCTATCTATCTATCTATCTATCTAAGCTTGTTAATCTATCTATCTATCTAAGCTTGTTAATCTATCTATCTATCTATCTATCTATCTATCTATCTATCTATCTAAGCTTGTTAATCTATCTATCTATCTATCTATCTATCTATCTATCTATCTATCTATGCTTGTTAATCTATCTATCTATCTAAGCTTGTTAATCTATCTATCTATCTATCTATCTATCTATCTATCTATCTATCTCAATCTGTTCATATCTATCTATCTATCTATCTATCTATCTATCTATCTATCTGTCTAATTAGGGTTTGCTTTATCGCTAAGGACGGTACATATTTTACTCTGGAGCTTCTAAGCAGGCTCATCTTAATATTGCCGAGTTTTATGCTACGACTCAGCAACAGAAAATTTGATCTTGATTAGATGGCTTTATATTTTAAGTAATTTATGTTTCTCTTTTGTTTTTTTTAAATATATATTTCGAAAGTACACGTGTTGGAGCAGATATTCTTTTTCCATTTTTTTTTTTAACAGCGAAATTAATGTTCACCGGTCTAGGGATCGAAAGTCTTACTAAAAAAAATGTGTCCCAGACTGGAATCGAACTCTATCTCTAGGCCGGTAATAATAATCGTGAGGTTAACAGTTTCCTTATACGGAAACATTCGGCATTCGTTGATCGAACAGACTAACTGGTTGACATTTTTAAAAATCTTTCTCTTGAAACATTTTTTCAGGAAAATACGTTTCTCAACTCTAATGTTATTGCTCTGTCTGATGGGGGGTTTCCTTCCTGGCCTTTTGTTTGAAGTAGTGAGAAAATCTCAACATTTTGATTATGTTGTTTTCTCTTCAGTTTGCATGTTCTATTCATTTCTGGTGTTGCTGCTCTTGAAAGTCTTCGAGTGACGTGGTTTCTGTTGTTTGGCAAAGTTCTTGGTTTGTGATTATGTAGCGCCAATCCAAGAGATTTATTGAAGGGTGGTCCTCTCTAGGACCTACAGGTATGTATTACATTCACTGTTTAAAAACAAGAATAAGCGCTCTCAGCCAGAAGTTGTTATTAAAGTCTGCTCAGCGTAGTTGCAATGTAAATCACAGGTTAACTTTTGACTCTTTTGGTATTGAAGAAACTTAAATGTGTCTGAGAGGGTGTCGACAAATGGGATTAGCTAGTCACCCTTGCAGACCGCTGTAATTGGAAATAATCAGTCAGCCATTACCTATGTTATGACTTTCCCATCGATTACGACATATGTGGGCCGAGCTATTCAGTTCTTCAAAATGAACGGCCAGACTACATACACACAAGATTTGCTTATAGTAGAAGAACTATTAGAGAGAACTGATGTTCGGTTTGTCACGAAATCTCGAAATATTCCTCCTCAGGTTCTGAATTCAAAGTTGTCTTTCTTCTGGAGTGGTTGACAGCCAAGGTCAAAGAACTCAGTATTTAATTTAGTATTTAACCATAGCTGGGAGAATGTAGAGTGATTTTTTTTACGTGTTATTAACCTTTTCTGGGTTATTTAAAGTTGAAACATTTTTTGGATTGTAAGAAGAATATTGTATTTTCAATGTTCTGAGAATAACACTGATTTCGTTTCCAGATACAAGTCCTACTATTTAATCTATAGTTGAGGAAATGAGATAGACTCATACAGTTCTCAAGTGTATTGGCGCGTAAGTGAATGTAACGAAAACTGGCATTCGAACTCTCCGATTTCGGAGCCGTTATCTATTACACCACCCGCACATCCGGAGTGAGTAGAGAAGAGGTGGATTTATACCGTTCCCAAGGCTATTTATGAAAAAAAAAATGAATGTAGTGAACTCGATCGAAATTCGAAATTGGCTCGCTGATTTCTCATTCTGAGTCGCTAACTATAACATATACGATATATATATATATATATATATATATATATATATATATATATATATATATATATATATATATATATATATATATATCCGTTCCCAAAGGCTATTTGTGAGAAAAATTAATGTAGTGAGCCTGACCGAAATTCGAAATTGGCTCGCTGATTTCTCATTCTGAGTCGCTAACCATAACACATACATATATATATATATATATATATATATATATATATATATATATATATATATATATATATATATATATATATATATATATAACTAGACTCGTTTTCGAAAAACCCTCGAATTTTTGATTTGCTAATCAAATCAATCTCGAGGGAAAAAAAGTTTTAAAAAGAAAGAGCTATAAACATGGACTTCTGCCGACAAAAAAATCGCACAGATGCAGGTCTGAAGCTCAAAAAAAAAAACCCCGATACGAGTAACAACTAACTAACAAAAGAGCTCAATACAACCGTAGAGCAGACCTAGATACCTAGTGAGCCAGACAAACCTACAACGGATCGTCAGGGAAAGTTTAGCTTTCCCTGACGATCCGTTTAGGTGAAACTTAGGTAGGTTTGTCTGGCTCACTAGGTGTATGTATATATATATATATATATATATATATATATATATATATATATATATATATATATCGTGTGTGTGTTTAAATTAAGATATATGTAGATATTTTGGCCTTGTGCCTGACTAAGCTAAGCATAGTAATTACGTAGCTATAGATATGTCAAATTTTATATGTATATTTTGAGTGCTGAAATGAGGAGTCGTTAAATGTTTTCTGCTCGATTTACTTCTGAATATCAAACCAAGTAACCATATTTTTTTAATCGCTTCTCGGTTATTGCCGTAACACCGTATAATTATAACAAATGTTTCATCTGGTGTAGAAACATGTAAATAAACTTGAAGAATTACAGTCGCAATTAACTGTCTATTATAATCCGGGTATATTTGGACCGCGTGGCCGAGTGGTTAGAGCATTTACTTTCTGATCGTGAGACTTAGGTCCGAATCTTAACAGGGTTCTTTTGTCAGGGAGTGTAGGGATACAAAAGGCGATTATCTCCCTTTCTTTGAGATAAAGTCACGATTGTCATGTGACGGTCGGTGAGTGACGTCATGGGAATAAAGAGACGAATGGGCAGATGCAATGTAAAGCCCGGGGAAGAAAGAAGTCCCTAGTCCACAGCGGTAGGTCCTACAGCTAACAACACGTGACCACACCAGGTTCAAAGAGAAACCGCTGTACTCCATTTTTTTTCTCTTCGAGAAATATATAAAAACCCTCTTTTTTGTCCCTTTTCATTCATCTTGTTATGTAGATATTTGTAAATTATCTGCATGGGATAAATGTATATATAATTTTACATACGACTTAGCATCATAAGACCTTCTCGGAGAACAATGCATATTTGTCATTCTTTTTGCTTTTAGCTGTTCCGTTCTGTTCGTGAAATACGGGGTTTTTATATCATGGATATAATAATGCCCGTAATAGGGGAAACGCAAATGGGGAAATAAACCTTTCTTCCATAGCGCACCCATTAGAAGGTAACTTCTTGATATTATCGACCTGGGGAGGGGATCCCAACGAGCAGCCCCTTTGGAAAGTACATGAAAACAATACTATAGATTATCGCATTCCTTGGGAAATTGGGTAGACGATTGTTTTGGTACGAAGTCGCAAGTAATCAAGTAAAACTTTATCATTTCAGATTATGAGCTATTTCAGGGAAACTGTAACTAAGTTTCACTTAGCATAGTTGAATTTTGTAGGGGTTGAGCAAGCAAAAATATGCCTGAGCAAACGTCTGCAATCTGGGATTGGCTAGCCACTCTAACATTCTCGCATAGACATATGTTTTCTCTTTGGTCATATTCATTGATCATTTCGTACCAAAATGCAAGTATTATGCATGTATTGCTTAGACATGAACGCTATTGCATTGAGTTTATTTGCCGACGGAAGAATATTAATATATATAAGAACGAGTGCTGAAAAGTTCTCATCCCCCCCAAAAAAAAGGAACGTTTTAAAGCCAAGAAACGTACATGCACTCGAACTATTCCCCCCAAAACACTTGGCATATCATTTCTGAAGTTTCCTTTAAGCTTCCCAAAAAATGTGAAGTATGGATAGCGGCTCGGGTTGAGGAATCAGAGAGCCGAGTTCAAATTCCAGTCGAATCCATTACATTCACTTACGTGCTAATACCCTTGGGAAATGTTTTCTTCTCCCCCTAGCTATTGATAAATAGCAGAACAGACCGAGTCCTATAGCCTTGGATAGCAACTGTTCTACCACAGAAAGAAATGGCAACCTACTGCGGGAAAAAAATTTGCTTCATCAGACATGTATCGAAAGATAAATGATCGCTTAAATGTGTATCACGCATAGCATATAACTGACTGATATTTGGTCACTGAAATATTAACCTGCTACCATCACCTCCAAATTCTTTCCGTTTCAAATTTCATTTAAGCTTGGAAACAGAATACAGATGGAGCAAGATCTGGTGCGCAGGATAGGTTTTTTATATACTCAAATACCAAATTCCTTAAGATATTCATTATCATGTCAGCTCTGTGAGCACCTGATTACACCCTCCCTCGCTGTTTCTTTCTATTCCATGAACTTTTCTTTCATCAATGGCCCATCGTGGTATAACCAAGTTTTATCAACAGTGACAAATCGTTTATAAAATGATGACTATTTTTGCTGAAAATAACGTGAAACCAACTTCGAAGCATCTACTCAATATCATTTCTGGTTGGCGTTGCATATTCATGAATTATACATCTAAAGCATTCCCTGTCTCAGAAATTCTTTTTTCGCTTTCAATTTCCATTTAAGTTAGAAAACAAAAAACAAAAAAACAAACAAAAAAAAAAACAAAAATAAAACAGTAACATGGCGCAAGATCTGGTGCGTAAGATAGTTTTTCTATGCGCTTGAATCTTAAATTCTACCGAACCACGAAACCGATAACTGCGTGGTTTTGAAGAAGAGCAGTGCACTATTGTTCTCTAAATACTCCTGTAAACTGTATTATAGGCCTGCAAATCCAATATTTGGTATTTGACTGTATAAAAAAACCTATCCTGCGCACCAGATATTGTTCCATCTGTTTTCTGTTTCCAAACTTAACAGATTTAGACTTTTTGGGCCTAATAAAAGTTCAAATTATTTATATGTTCATTAATTTTACTTTCGCTACACTCGCAATGATTATGAAGCACGTCTTTTAAGTGTAGTGACATCGATCCTCACCGGCACATAAAAAGAGGTCATAGGAGAGTTATTTACCACGTTCTCCCTCGCTCTCTGTTTAAAACACACACATCGAGATCAACATGCCAGAATTCAAACTTTGTTCATGGATACTGTTT